CAACTCACTACTGGCATCCGGATCACTCTCCCTTGTCTCCTCCCCACTGGTCCAAGGCTCAGGCGCCTCCTGGTGGCCAACCAGCCTCTCTGTGCCCTGCTCGGAGTCGGAACCCTGTCCAGGGTCCTCCACATCCTCCAGAGCCGACTCATAAGGCCCCTCGCTGTTGGAGTCTGGTGGCAGCTCCAATGGCTCCTGCTGGGCCACAACATACATATATATTTGTTTTCGTATTTTTGTATCAAATTCACTTTCACTTTTGAATTTCCTATCAAATTCACTTTGATACGAGTGAATTTGATTTGAGGAAAATGGTGAATTGTTTCAGAGGAACTCAGTTCCATTTCCCAATACATCGTGAAAAGTCAATTTTGAGATTTGATCAAACTGGAGTCAGAGCTCCGAATCAAACCTTTGTTCAACTTTATTAAAAAGATGATGATGATGATGATGATGATGATCAAACCTTTGTTCAACTTTATTAAAAAGATGATGATGATGATGATGATGATGATGATGATGATGATGATGATGATAATAATAATAATAATGGAATTAAATTAAAGGATTAATTCTCCACAACTGTGATCTCAAAAGCTGTAAACATCTAAGACGATTTCTATACAAACTAAGTTCAGAAATATAGATCATGATTAAATGTCATGATACAAATATTTTCTCTGGGAAAATTTCTGCTCTAAATGTACACAGTTAACAATGTCAAAAATTGTGTACTTTAGACGCAACTTTGTATTATGGGTTCTTACAATGTTTAGAAACTTTGCTTTGGTTTCATAGGAGGTATAGAACACTTTTCCTACATGGTGAATTCATAGTTTTTTTCAATAACAGGCCACATGCTGTGACAGTACAATGGCTTTTGGAATGCTTTAGAAAAGGTTATTTAATACCTGAAGAGCAATATGCCCCTGCAAGTTATCAACAAGCGAATATTCCACCTTCTGAGCCACCTTTCATCTCCAAAAAAAATGATATGTTAAAGAAAGAACGTGTGAATACTATGGCAGCTGCAGATACTGATGAAGAATTGCTATCTCAGTATGTTACTCATGATTCCAAAGTAGGTAAGGTAACAGGTCCATGAAAAGCAGGGAGATGGACAGGGAAGCAGGCATGCAGCGGGCAGAATAAATAGATAATCTTTTTTATGGTCATCAACCAGCAAATATACTCCATCATCATCTGTTCTCTTTAATTTCTTCTTTGATCATCGTTATACTTACACTTGTCCTCTATCTATTTGTAGCCCATAGTCTATGTACCACTGTCCTAAATGTCCTTAAATGTTTTTTATTTTTTGTACTCTATTTTTTCATTTGCTTTTTGATAACCTTAGCTACTGTTCTTCAAGGATTTAATTTACAGCCTGCTATATTTTTTGTGTAATTGTTGTCTATCACCTTGCTTCTTGGACCGTATTATTCTTTTCTCATTTGGATTTTCCTTACTACCTACTAGATTTTGTTTCTTCCATTCTCTTCTCTTATTGCAAAGCTCTTACATTTCTAAAAATTGCATGATGTATTCAAAACAACTGATTTGTCAATTCCCAGAGGTAACAGATTTCTCACGTAGACACAGGTTTTCTGCCCGATTGCTGAGTGGGCATGACCATGGTGGACATGGCCTAGTTGGCCTCCTGCACCATGGTGTGTGTGTTTTTGCCTTCCCCAGGCTTCGGAGGCTTTCCTCGAGCCTTTGGGAGAGTGAAATCATCCTTCCCCGGACTGTGGAAGGCACCCTCCCCCCTCCCCCAGCCTCTGTGCAGGCCCTGCACTTATTTCACATCCAAAATAGGCCGTGTGGAGACGCCTGGGACGGGTGGGCGGGGCCAGCCAGCATGGGATTTGGAGTTTCTCCGAACCGGCCATAACATTTGCTATGAATTCTCCTGAACCTGTAGCATCCCACCCCTGCACATAGGTGATTGTTTAACTATCAGTCCATATACAAAGTGTGTTATAAATTCTTCCAGAATAGTTCACCATTATACTAAAAAAAGAAAATTAACATTTTATTTATCTTCTAGTTCATTTTGATGACCACATTGAAACTGATCACACTGTCGTTCAAGATGGAAAAGAGGTCACAGTTACTTCCTTGGCAGAGTCTTCTTCAGTTATTGAAGGAGCCTTATTTAGTGGAAAAAAGTTTCTCATTCTTGGTTTTGGTAAAGCAGATGAATCTTACATAAGAGCTCTGATTGAAGAGAATGCTGGGAAGGTTCTGCTCCAGGAAAAAAGAGTTATTGCTGATTATGCTGTTGTTCCTCTTCTGGGAAACAAGGTCATATCAACTGTAGAAGATGTGGTTACAAACACATGGCTGGTAAGAATAAATTGAAAAATAATGTTTCAAACATATTAAGTAAAGAACAAAACAATAAGCAATGGAAGTTTTGTTGATATTTTAAAATTGCTATTGAAAAATAATATACATCCAAATTATATGTATATGCTAAATTGTGTCCAATTATGGTCTGATTTTATTCTTTCTATTTTAATCATTGAGATTTTATAGCAAAATAAAATGCAAATTAAGCCCCAAACACCAAAAGAATACTGTTAATAAATAATTGGATATTTGAATAAAACAGCTACAACAATTTTAACAGTCCTAATGCCTCACTTTATGTTAACTAAAACTAAAATTAACTTTAGGGAGTCACTTTGATGTAATGGTAAGGGATACAGGGAATAAACCAGGAGACTAAATTTTATTTCCACTTGGTAAGTCATTCGTAGCTTTAGAAGCAAGCAATGGCAATTTATTTTTGAAAAATTGCAGTGATTTGTCTAGAGAGTTACCCTGAATCATCATTGATTTGAAGACACATAATTTAATATAATGCTAACTTTAACTCACAAAACATTTACAATACCATTTGTATTTAAAAACTAAGAGAAGTCCATACAAAGTTGATCAAGGAGATGATTAGAGGACTGGCACCACAAATGGCAGACGATATGATACTGTTTTGCTATTGGAAAGATACAGGTTGATAGATGGAAGAATATAATTTAAAACTAGTTAAACTTAGTGAAATCTATTGACAATAGATATAGTTTAAATAAATAATTGATAATGTTACTAATGTATACAATGTGTAGTGTTATAATGACTATAATTGGATGTGAATATTGAATGGTACCCATGTAAGGAAGATTAGAAATCCCTTTGGATTATACGTAAAGGTTAATATAAAAAAAAGAATCAAGTTAGATACAGTTAAAGTTTTGATTATTAGAGGGAAAATGTTATGATACAGGATATAGTTAAATAAAGGAGGGACAAGAATAACAACGTATATATAGATATGGGTATAACATAGGGAGACTGGATGTAAATTCTAAACAGTGATTTGGAAAGGAGGATTAGAAAATTTTGTTATTAAATATTTGGATGTTTAGCTAGAATAGGACATAAGGATTTAATGTTAGTGGAGAATTTTAGAAATAGTAATTGAAAGGCCAGTATGTGGTTATGTATTAAATTTTGGTATATTTTATGATGAAGGACGCTTAAACAATTATAGTCAAATGAAAATGGAGAAATAATGATGGTGACATGTATGAATATTTGAGTTAAAATACTTAAGTTAATATGAATTATGTTTGTTGACTGTGGAAGAGATGCACAAAAGTCTTTTTGTAACCAACTGATACACTTTCTACAGCTTGTGTTTAAGGATTTTGTGTTTGTTTTAAACTAAAAATAAAAAAAATATTAAAAAAAGAGTTTAAGAAGGCATTGTTGTGTTGAAGTTTTCAAATAATTCCCTACAATCATATGCCGTTTAATCCTTTAGTGTGTCAGACTCTTGAATTACTATGGTTGAAAACATTTCTAAGTTATTTAATGTCTTCTTGTTCATTATCTAAGGTGATGTGTATAGAACAACAGACTCTGATAGATCCTCAATCAAGTCCACTTTTCAGCCCAGTGCCAATGAAGGAAGGAGCCACCCCATTACAGCATTTTGTGTTGTCTTTCAGTCAGTTTAGTGGAGCAGAGAGAGAATCTTTAGTATGTTTGGCAAGTCAGCTTGGGGCAAGGTCTGTACAGCATTACTTTTTAAAATGCTCTGGCATCTTATAATATTAAACTTCTGTCATATTAAAAGAAAAAGGAGAAAATGTACATGCTTTTCAAAAAGGCTAATGATATAAATTACTACCAAATTATTGAAAAATATTGTTTATAGCTTTGTATTTATTTTTGGGGAAAAAAATTAAGATCTTTTTCAAAAGATAAAACATTCTTATGTAATTTTTCTTTTTAAGAATAATATTGATACTTATGGGAAATAGCATTTTTTTAAACGTTGTTTTAGAGTTCAGGAATTCTTCGTGAGAAGAGCCAACCCAAAGAAAGGAATGCTTGTTAGCACTCACCTGGTGCTAAAAGAGCCAGATGGTTCTAAATATGAAGCAGCAAAGAAGTGGAATCTTCCTGCCATTACTATGGCTTGGCTATTAGAGTCTGCTAGGATGGGAAAAAAGGCTGATGAAAGCAAATTCCTGATTGAGAATATAGACAACAAAGGTTAGTTGGAATGGAACTGCACCTGATGGTGCTCACTAGCACATATCTGTGTAAACAATAGAAACATTAATATATTTCCTCACACCCCATCCATAAGCATTTTTTTCTATTATATTGTAAAAAATATATAAATATTATTGGTTGCTAGATGCCACATTTAGTGTCTTTAAAGCAATTCTCTCTCCCTCCCTCCCTCCCCCCTCTCTCTGTATATATGTGTATATACACACATATGTATGTATAATATGTGTGTGCTGTGTGTATTTAGATTGCCAAATTGAATCAGTCCAACTCAAAAAGTGAATTTGTGAAAAATGGTGAATTGTTTCAGAGGTAATCAGTTCAATTTTCGAATACAGTATGGCCTGAAAAATCGATTTTGAGATTTGATCAAATTGCTGTCAAAGTTCTGAATCAAACCTTTGTTCAACTTTATTAAAAAGATACATATTATAAAGAAAAATAATTTGTAAATATTATTGATTGCTAGATGGCCCTGATGTTGCAGTAGATCAGGACACTATTAATAGGGCTTTGCAACAAATGAAATCAGACTTGGAGAAGTGGAAAAACTTGCAACTATCCTTGATTAATGGGATTTTGAAAAAATGCAATTGGCCATTCTTTCTCTTCGTAGAAGTATCCATTGTACCTCCTGGCTCCATACAATATATATATATATATGACATCTCCCTGGTACTATTCCATATAATTGCTACAGGGAGATGCCATATATTGTATGGAGCCAGGAGGTACAATGGATACTTCTACGAAGAGAAAGAATGGCCAATTGCATTTTTTCAAAATCCCATTAATCAAGGATAGTTGCAAGTTTTTCCACTTCTCCAAGTC